TTCTTCCGCCCCGAGCTGTCGGTGACTCCTCCAAGCCAAGCGTCTGCCATCTTGGGAGTTCAGCTGTGGCCCCCTGCAAAAGAATTACAGCAGTTAGGCTTATACCCACTCATGGAGAGGTAGGAAGGGCTATGAGAGAGAGTACCACTTGTAAGCGTGCAACTCCGCACATGGCCACAGAGAGGGGTTAAGTTATCTAGTCCCAGGAAGACGAGGAAAGGGACCATATCTGTATGGCTACACGGAAGCTCTCATCCCTGCTGGGTAAAGGCTTTCACCCTATAAGTAACCCCTCGTCTATGCTCTGTAAAGAGACCTAACAAACACAATGGTGCCCGAGAGTAAACTTTGGTGGGACTGTGCTTTAGTTTATCACTGAGACCTAGGAGGAGGAGTAGGCAGTAGGCATTGCTTATGTTTCCTCCTGGGAAGAAATTTAAGCAATAGCCACCATGACAAGGACCTGCCTAGGCTAGGCCTCAGGTTCCAGGAATAAGAAGAAAAACAAAAGCAACCAAGATGTCATCATCTGACTTCCTGTTGACCCACACAACCATGAGAATAAATAATTTTTGCCATAAGCCATTGAATGTTGGGGTGCTTGTCTACACAGCGGCGTCGTAGCAGAATCTGTATTGGTTGGGGTTCTCTAGAGGAACAGAACCAATAGGAGATTATAGCTTTAAATATTAAAGGAGATTTGCCATGTTGGCTCACATGATTGGAGGTGGGGTCGCCCCACAATGGCTGTCTGAATTCTGGGTGGGTGGATGGGCAGGTGGAGAACCTAGCAGTGCTCAGGGCAAGAAGTTGGAAGCCACAGAACAAGGCAGACCAGCGATGCAGCCCAGACAGAGGGGGTGCCTGGAAGCCCCTGGAGCTGTAGCATGATTCTGCGTTGAAAGGCTGCCATCTGCCGTTCCTACTTTTACTTCATCTGGAACCCTAACTTAGTGGACAGTGTCACCACATTCGGGGACTGTTTTTACTTCTGCATGTCGTCCTCCCTGGAAACCCCCAGCATGCACACTCAGAGGCTAATCTTACTACTCCTAGGTAGCTATTGGTCCAGTCAGGTGGACAGTCAAGATTAATGATCAGAGCAGCTAGACAGCATCTCTGCTAACATTCCAGGAAGACCTCTGTCTTAGTCAATGTTCTACTGCTGTGAAGAGATGCCATGACCACAGCAATGCTTATAAAAGCATTTAATTGGGGGCTCACTTACTGTTGCCGAGGATCAGTTCATTGTCAGCATGGCAGGGAGCATGGTGCTAGAATAGGAGCTGAGAGTTGCATCCTGGTCTGGAAGCAGAGAGAATGAGGCAGGGCTTGGCATGGGCTTTTGAAACTTCAAAGCTCATCTCCAGTGACACACTTCCTCCAGCAAGGCCACTCCTCTCAGTCCTTCTAATGCTTTCAAATAGTACCACTCCCTGGTGACTAAGTCTTCAAATCCAGGAGCCTGTGGGGGCCACCACAATCTCCCTGGGTTATACAGCACTGTGCCCCAGGCTCTATGGGGTAGAAGAGCAGCCCCGCAACCCTAGGCCCAGGTAGGGCCTGACCAAGGACTTTAGCCAAGTATCAGGTATGCTAGTGAGTGGGGGTAGATCGGGGGAGGGAGGGAGCTGGCGCGGGGAGGTAGGGGTATGTGGATATGAAGGGTACTGAGGAATGAAATCACACAGAATGAACAGAACTTGGTGAGTATTGACCGCAAAAGCCAAGTTGGCCCCTTCCTCTCTCTCCCTCCTCCTCCCTCTAGCAGACCCAAGCAAGCCCCTGCAGCCGTTGCACAGCCCGATTGGCTACTTGTGAGAGCCATTGCCAGCTCAGTCTAGGAGGAAATTCCATGCCGTCAGCCAGCAGCACAGAGTGTTGCAGGGAAAATGCCACACAACTCATCCTCTGGGCAGAGGTGCAAATTACTGCACATTTCCCCACCCCTCCTCCACAGCTGGTGGAAGATGGTGGAGATTTTCCCACGGAGACAGCAGACTTTTTCTCACTGTGATTATCTTTTGATCAAACAAGTCCTCGTGGCTCTTAGTCCACAGCCATTCCTGGCTCCCTGTTCTCTGACGTCAAAGTGACTTATGCAAGACCTGTGGCCCAGCACATACAAGAATTGGACCTAGGTTTCCCTCTGAATGGCCATGTTATGAAGTAAGATTCCTGAAAGAGACACTTTCCAGTTGAGATTCCAAATCTCCAGATAAATGACACCATAGCAAACACACAAAAAAACACACAACACACACATAACACACACAACACATACACAAAACACACACAACACATACACAAAACACACAACACATACACATAACACACAACACATACACATAACACGCACAACACATACACAAAACACGCACAACACATACACATAACACACACAACACATACACATAGCACACACAACACATACACATAACACACACAACACATACACATAACACACACAACACATACACATAACACACACAACACATACACATAACACACACAACACATACACAAAACACACAACACATACACATAACACACAACACATACACATAACACGCACAACACATACACAAAACACGCACAACACATACACATAACACACACAACACATACACATAGCACACACAACACATACACATAACACACACAACACATACACATAACACACACAACACATACACATAACACACACAACACATACACATAGCACACACAACACATACACAAAACACAATACACATAACATATACGAATCACACACTGCACACACAAAACACATACACACAATACACATACAACACACACATACACACAAATCACACATACTGCACACATACAACACACAAAACACATATACACAATATACACACATATACACAAGTTACACATGCTGCACAACACACAGCACACACGATACACATACACATACTGCTTGTTGATGTAAAATGTTTGTGACATTAGCCACATTCCACTCATCTGAGGCCCAAGGTTGACCTAGGCACTAGGAACTCAGCTCTGACACACTTCTTCCTCAGCTCACTCCATTGTTCTGCCAACTTAAGAGATTGTTCCACTTGGATTCAATTTTATTTTTTAAATAGGGTTTCACTATGCAGCCCTGGCTGGCCTGGGCCTTGTTGTGTAGACCAGGTGGCCCCGATTTCTACCTGGATTCAATTTCATGAGTACATATTGAGCTCCCGTGTTGAGCAGAGCACTGTGTTGGGCTCTGGGAGAATACAGTCAGCATTAACAGCACACAGGATCTGCCTGCAGAAGTTTGTGATCTAGACTGAAGGGGGAGCTACCAATGGTGCCTGTGAGCAGACCTCCCAGACCAGCACAGAATGGTGCCTCCTGGGATGGGTGTGCGGGATGGTGACATGAGAGGGGCAGACTGGAAGAATGCCCGGGCTACAAAGGGAGATCAAAAGCAGGAAAGCATTAGGTAAATAAAAGTACGGAGGGAAGGTTGCCCAGAGCAGGGGAATTTTAAGGGAGGGACGACAGGCAAGGTTGATCTTTCTGTGAACCAAGAAGCTGGAGTACTTCCCGAAGTAGAAACCGCGCTGGCTTGTGATGCCAGCTGCAGGCGGTAGACACCTCTGTCCCGTAGTGCAGTGCACAACTCAAAGTCCCTACCCTCTTATTTAAAGGGATATATTCTGAAACATTTTACCTTTGTGGCTTCAAGAATGAATATTAAGTGTTAACATCTGAAGTTAAATTAAGATCACTTATCCTTCAGGTTAAATCCTTGGGGTCTCTGGGATTGAACAAACATCTTCGTGAGCAAAGTCTGGGTGGAAATGACATTCCCACCTAACAGCTGGAGCAAATTAGATACTACTCTCAGGCACACAGAGAGGTGCTCACTGTCATCATCACAGTCACCTGGGGTGCAGGGCGGGGTTCCCGACTTCCTCTTTTCAACGTATATTTCCCCAAGTGGCCAGGTGGTAGGACTTTGCTTATTATAGGGAAAAGAAACCTGTCCATCTGTGAAACATCCTTCTAACCTCTCTTCCTCCTGTTTAGACAGTGTGTGTGTGTGTGTGTGTGTGTGTGTGGAGAGAGAGAGAGAGAGAGAGAGAGAGAGAGAGAGAGAGAGAGAGAGTCCTTTCTTTGTCTACAGCTTGCAGGGTGAGGGAATGTGACGGTCTGCCTCCAGGCATTCAGTCCACAAGGAAATGACGCGTGCTTTTGGGTTGACTTCTAAACGTTCACCTGGCCTTGATCACCCAGTCTCCAGACATGGTGTGTGTTGATCTTGGGGTGCAAAGTAGCTGCTGGCCTTGAAGGCGTCTGAGTAACCAACCATAGAGACAGGAATAAAGACACCAGTGAGTGTGGCAGAATCAGGTGGCTAGTCTCACTTAAGGCGGCAGGGTTGGTGCAGTCTTGACAGATGATGGAAGTGTGTCACCAGGTCTGTCTCTTGCTGAGTCAGTCGGCTGCGCTTCACAGCGAGTGTTCTCTACTGAGCCCCCATTGCGCTGACTGCTTTATTCTTTGTTTATCCCTGATGTGAGCTGGGAGCTGCTGTGGGATGGTTGCTGGTCAGGCACAGAGACAGCAGGGGGCTAGTCCCTGACCTCAGATAACTTACCCTGAGCAGAGACTGCTTAGACTGGCATTTATGGGAAGCTTCCAAGCAAAAGCTGGAAAAGTCCTGGGCAAACTGGGGCAAGGTGGTTACTCTATTGTAGGGAGACTTATAACAAACATATAGTAAAATGTAATAGTTTCAAAAGGTAAGAGATAGGCATGGTGACTCTGGCCTGTTAAAGCGTTTGGAATTTTGAGGCAGGGGGATTGTGGGTTCTAGTCCAGCCTGGCTTATACAGGGGAGACTTTGTCTCATAAATATTTTATATATATACAAATATATGTATATATAATTATATATAATATGTAGTACACATACATATTTATATGTGTATGTGTGTGTGTGTACGCGCACATGCCCGCACACGTGCATTTCAACACTTACTTGTCAGGGGAGATTCCATAACTGTGAAGGCAGTTTTCCCAGGGTAACGCTTATCCACTGCACTATGGATATTCTGACCCTTCAATTTATGCCTCAACGTGGGAAACTTGACTACCTAATTTGTAGCAGTGGGGGACTTTGCTCATGCTATCCCCGAAGAAATAAAATTGAATAAAACCTTCAAATGGTAATAAATGCATTAAAGAAATAGCATGCACAGATTGGTGCTGTGAGGGGATGAGGAAGGGCCGAGGGCCTGGGAGGGGTTGGGGAGCTCCCATGACCAAACAGCCACCGAGAGGGATGCCAGGCCTATGGCCCAAATGGCCTAGCCACCCCCTCCTCCTCACACTGCCTGCTCTTTAGAAGACAGCCTAGATCAGATTCCAGTGTGGCCCACACCCTTGTTGTATGTCCTATCTGCTTCCGACCCAAGTCCAGGACATCACTCTGCGAATGGGCTTGCTATTGCATTATCTTCAAAACAGGCTGCAAGTGGTAGAACCAGGAAGGTGGAATATAATGGCACATTGACACCCCCCCCCCTAGAGTTTCTCAGTGTAGCCCCTGGCTGGCCTGGAACTCACTCTAGACCAGATTGGCCTTGAACCCAGAGAGAGATCCACCTGCCTCTGCCTCCCGAGTGCTGGGGTTAAAGGTGTGCACCGCCACCAGCACCACATGGCTGACCTTTTATTTTTTTAGATTAAAAATATTTGTATGTGTTCATGTGTTTCTCTGCATGTGTGTATGCCACATGTGTGCAGGTACCTATGGAAGCCTGAAGAAGGTGTCAGATCTCCTGGAGCTGGAGTTGCAGCAGCCGTGAATTCTAGGGTCCAAACTCAGGTTCTCTGGAAAAAAAGCCAGCTCTCTTACCTGTGTTAGCCTTTCAAACTTTCACTATCATCACCCTCAAGGTGTTGTTCTTACACCTTGCTGAGCGCACCAACTATTTTAACTACCCAGCTGCCAAGGCTGTTATAGCTGCAACCAAATTACTTGATGGGCTATGGTTAACAGTGGGTTTTTTTTTTTCCATTTCTGATAAAATGTTTGCACAGCCCTGAATGGGGAAATAAGGAGTTCCAGCAATAAAAATGAACGAGGATAATTTGTGTGTTGGCATTTTTACAATAGAATGTCAAATATTTCATTCCCCAGTGATACTGAGTCTTTACATGTTCACTGTTATTTCTTTTATGAAGTGCGTTGTGTTTGCTTTATTATTAATCTTAACTGGTGTGCATATATTATATACTTTCTTATTCCATGATGTGTTTCTCAATATTTTAAAGGCTGTCATAAAAATATATATGCCTTGAGTGCTGGGACAATAAAGCGTCAGAGGAATCAACAGGCAGCTGTAACTGAGCTTTCTTCCTGGAGACGGTCCAGCCCGCATTGCAAGCAATGATTCATCTTTCTCGTCACATAAGGGACTTGGTTGCTCTTTGTAGAACATGATAATTAATTGATGTTGGCTCCTTTATCCCGTTGTTATGATTATCATCATTATTATTTCATCTTTTTGAGACAAGGTCTTGTATAGTCTGGGCTGGCCTTGTCGCTGAGGATGGCTTTGAGTTCCCCATCTTCCTCCCCAAGAGTCTGGATGACAGGTGGATGCCCCCATACCTATCCTCTCCTGTTATTGTAGGGTTCTTCTTGGTGTGGAATCTTTCCAAACGGTGAGCGAGGCTTTTGATGGTTTTTATTATCAACGTGACACAACTGAGAATCACCTGGGGAAAGTATTTGCGGGAGTTTTCTATCTTAGGTCGTCCTGCCGGCCTTGATGTGGGGGATTGCCTGGGAAGAGCGCTAACGTGGGACTTTCCTATCTTATCCTATTGGCCCATATGTGGGGGATCGTCTCCATCACCTTAACTAATGTGAGAAGACCCACCTAAATGTGGCCTGTGCCTTCTGGGAACAGCCCGGATGAATGGACATGAAAGAAACCTTTTTACATTGTGATGGTCTGGCCTTCCTGCCCTCTGCTGAGTTCATCTACCCAGCTGTTGCTGCTGTTCCTTTGCTAACACTGAAACCAGCTTCTTTGGGCTTCCAAGGTGAGTGGCCACGTAGGTGCTGGGAATCCAAGCGAGTTCCTCTGGAAGAACAGACAGTGATCTTTACCATGGTGCCTTCTCTCCATTCCCTGGCTTTCAATGTGGACTGAAAACCAGTAGCTCTCCAGGATTCCTCCAGGCCTTTTGGTGTTAGCAAAGGATTGTTGAAGTACCCAGTCTCATGGATCAATCAACAATCAGGTTCTTAGCTGGCTTCTCTGATGGGAAACAGCCAATGTTGGATTGTAACAACTGTATTCTGAAAGTCAATCTAATGCTCACATAGTCATCTCTTTAGTTCTGTTCTTCCAGAACCCCCTCCCCCTCCCACAAACACAAGGATAATCAGAGCCCAGGTTAAACCAGGAATCATCACATTTAAAAATTTATTTACTTATTTGTATGTGTGGGTAGGTGGTTGGTGTCACTTGGGCCATGGCTTGTGTGTAAAAGTCTGAGGACAGCGGTAGAAGCTGATGCTTTCCTTCTGCTATGTGGGTTCCGGGGACTGAACTCAGATCATCAAGCATCCTTACCCTGCTGAACCATCTCACCCCGAGTCATTACATTTCATGGGTATCACCAATAACACGCTGTGAAGTGAGATGGAAAGTCATCTGTGTATAATCCCAGCTCTATCTTAGACTTTCGAAATCTTTTTCTCTTAGGTAGTTTCTATTAGCATTACTGATCGTACATGTATTAGAATTCTGGGTGCTATTTCCATACACACATTGACCTTCCCTGACTAAAATTACCACCCTCTTCTACCCTATCTCAGTCTCAAGTGATTCCTATTCTACATTCAGGTCAACTTCTAAATATATATTTATTTTAATTTTTTATGTTTTCATGATGGGGTGTCCTGGAACTTGTGTTGTAAATCTGGTTGGCCTTGAACTCACAGAGATTCTCCTGCCTCTGCTTCCCGATTGCTGGGATTAAAGGCATGTGCCACCACCTCCTGGCTCTAATTATTTTTAAATATATATATTTATATATAGTTATACAGTTATGTGTGTTAGTATTCAGGTATTATGCTAGTCCACCCCCTCTCAGATTTGCCAGCGCTCAGGCAAATACCTAGCCAGCCTCAGAGTCTTCCAGTTGTGCTTGTGCTTGTCAGGCAAATACTTAGCTAGCCCTGGAGCCCTATGGCTGTACCTGCGCTGTGTGTTTACATCATGCATTGCATGGCTGCATCATGCGTTGCATGGTTGTGGAAGGCTCCACTGTATGCATGCACAAAGAGTCCTTTTTAAGCAAGCTCCGCCTGCCCTTCGCTCTGTAACTCACCTCTTCTCTTTCCCTGTCGGCTGTCGCGAACCCCCCTTTTGCTCCTCTATCAATAAACTCCCACGGGGGTCTGTTGTTTACTGTGCTTTGTTCTTGCCGAGTTGCTAAACCACAACAGCGTGCACCTGAGTGCAGGTGTCTGGAGTTTTCAGTGTTTGTAAGCCGCCCCACGTGAAGGACAGGAGTTAAGCCGGTTCTCTGCAGAGCCGTGTGCACTTTTAACCTCTAAGCCACCTCTCCAGTCCCTCAGCTCAACTTTTTTGGCTTCTACATGTAATTTTTATTCTTAAGAAAGGGAAGGGGCTGGTCAAGAGCACCTGTTGCTCTTGCAGCGCTCCCAGGTGTGATTCCCAGCACCTGTGTGGCAGCTCATAACCATCCAGTAGCTGCAGTCCTGGGAGGTCTGACGCGCTCCACCAGTCTCCCTGGGCGCTGTATACATGCGCACGGTTCACAAACATGCATACAGAGAAAGCACCTATACAAATAAAATTAAATTAAGACAAAAAAGGGAAGGGGGCAGGGAGTATGGGGTAGGGCAGGTGAGGAGAGAGGCAAATTAAAAAACTATAATGACACATGAATGAAAATGCCATAATGAAACCCATTACTTTGTATAATACTTTGATGATGATGATGACAATAATAATAAACTAGCTTTTAAACCAGACATGGTGGTACATGTACGCAGTCCTAAAACAGTACCCAGGAAGCCAGAGTCAGACATGCTGAAATTTTGCGGGTAAGCCACTGCCATGTGGCGATACACAGATTGATAGAGATGGGTTAAATTAATATGTAAGAGTTAGCTAATAAGAAGCTAGAGCTAATGGGTCAAGCAGTGGTTTAAATAATACAGTTTCTATGTGATTATTTGGGTCTAAGCTAGCCAGGTGGTCAGGAACCAACAAGCAGCCCTTCTCTGACACCCACCTTGTCACCTTGCCTTTGTTTCAGAAGTCCGTGTAGGACTAACTTGATATGCTTGTGTCCTCACAACCTCTGTGGCTTTACCATGTCCTCTGTGACTAATACAGTGCTATTAGTAATATAACCAGCACATCGCAGCGTAAGCTGGCTATGAGTCTGACTGACTCAGCAGCCTGCCGGTGTGGCTGAAGGAGGGCAAGAGTTTACGTGAAGATATTGATTCCTCGTGTACATAATCCTGGAGTGACTTGACAGTTTTCTGGGCACCTTGATGGCAAGCATGGGTTTTGTTAACAACGGGGTTCCTTGGTTCTTAGCTCTCGCCGGGGCATAGAAGTGAATCCCACCCCACAGGCTAGTATGGTTGAATCCCTGGTCCCCTGGCTGCAGGCTTTCTGTTTTGTTAGTGGTGTCTGGATCGGAGAGGAAGAGTGCTGCCGGCGCACCTCTGAGAGCGAACACAGTCCTACTTTTGACTCTCTTTCCTGGCACACCAAGGCACGGGTAATTCATGCCGCATCTCCGGCTACCATGCCCTATCAGCTTCCATGTCTCCGTGGGGATATTTTGTTTGTGCTCTAACAAATAAAGCTTCCTGAAGATCCGAGGGCAGAGCTAGCCACTAGTTAACCAGAGGGGTCTGGAGGTGTTGCACCAAAATTATCTCAGGGCCTGTTCCTCGAGGTCTAGAGGACAGAGAAAAGTCTGGCTTGAGTTTGAGTGAGGATGAGACAGCATAAATTAGATAGACACCCCTACAGCCAGAGGGTGGGTTTGGCTGCCTCTCATTGGACATGTACCCCCACATCACACCATGCCACTTAAGCTATATAAGCGGACACAGTAATAAACAGAG